GCTCAGCGTCTGAAGCTGTGCGCCGCAAGTTCCTCGACTTGGAGAATTCAACCAGAATCCGTCAGATAGTGAGCGAGGTCAGTGTTGTAGAGAGGACTGCAACAATGTCATGCAAGCCACAGACGGTTCGTTTATTGGCCGAATTTTCGAGTGAAGTAGCGCCATTTCAAAGTCGCATTCAGCATGAACCAGGGCTCACCAAAAACGGCGCGGTTACTGCGTGTTCCTGCTTATGCAGTGACATGCATTTGACATGCATTTTTTATGCCCATTTGCGGCACATTTTTTTTCCTAAGCTTGCATTTCCTTTGAGGTTGCTTTCATCCGATTTCTTATTTGGGCTTTTACGTGCACTTCACTACGTTCTGCTGCATTTTTGTGCCTTTACATGCGTCTGCGCACATCTCTGTGCATTTGCAGTGTAGAAAAATGCAGCTTGCTGCACTTTTTTTGCGATAGCGTGAACTATGCCCATAGGTTAACCTGGATTTTGAACTGTCTATGTAATTGGAGTGCAGCCGAAAATGCATCACACTGCAGCTGCTGTGAATGGGCCCCTAATCTGCCATTGCCTCGCACGACCGCCTGCTCTCTAGCTCCCTTGTCTCCTCCTCCCACACTCGTCTCCAGGACTTCTCCAGAGCTTCCCCATGCTCTGGAACTCTCTACCCCAATCTATCAGACTGTCGCCTACTCTGCTCACTTTTAGGCGATCTCTGAAAACCTCGGGCAGTGCCCGAGTTTCCAAATGGTCGGTCCTCCCCTGGTTAGGAGGGCCCTGATCCTTGGAGCTTACAATCTAAGGGGGAGGGGCTAGTGGTACAAAAGGTAGTAACTATGGGGGTGGACTGGTAGGAGAAGTAGAAGATTCCAGTATTAGCAGCTCCCATACTGTGTATTATGCAATATGAGTATTATGAGTTCATCTTTAATGTAAAGGTTCATATGAAGTGGAGTGTGAGCGGTGAGCCGAGTTAATAAAAAATAAATAAATAAATAAAATGGCAATTGGTTAAAAAAAAAAAAAAAAAAATCCTACAACCCAGCCGACGGCGTGTCCCCTGGCTGAGAACGGCTGGCCGGGCCCATCAACGATCGTGTGTTGTCTGCGTGTCACCTGAAGAGCTTCTGCAAAAGCTGCTCTGTGGGACACGGCGACATGAAGCTGGCAAGCTGTCGGGCCCGGTCAATCTGCCCGGCCGGCTCTTCCACAACGCTGCTGGCCAGCCCCAGAGGGTGCCCGCTTCCTCCGCTGCATCATGTGAGGCTTGCGCTTTGATGCGGAACAAACCGTAGCCTGCAGCCTCTCCGCCTCAATGTATGCACAGAAAGCCTCATTAGAGGCACCCAGGGCTCCGGAATGTCACAGCCACTTAGCACAAGGCAAGACGTTTAACCCATTTTCTGCCAGAGCGCCGCCAAAAACGCAGAGAGGAGCCGGGTCTGAGCGCTCCGCACGATGGCAACGGCTGCGCGGCGACTTGCTGCTAAATAAAATGAGCCGTGTACACAGCCTGGAAATGTTTACTCGTTACGGAGTCTCCCAACGCAGGCCGTGCGAGCAAGAAAAACGCCAGCCAGGATGGCAGGAGGTCACTAACGCAGTGCGCGGCGGTGACGGAACTGAATTACAGGGCCAGGAGCTAAGGGGTCACCCATGAATGGCTAGAGTACTAGATCTTTCAGTCGCTGTGTGTATAATATATATATATATATAGTTTAATATCTATTTATTTATTTATGTTTATTTTTTTTAAAAATGATAAACAATTACACCAAACGTCACATACAGAGCCTATGAGACATCATCATCTATTACCTGTCCACCTCATTGAACGCCCGCATCTCATTTATATTGTCTGTTATATCAACATTGCTTCAGATGTTTACCTTCATCTTCTACACCAGGGGCCTCCAAACTGCGGCCCGTGGGCCTAATGCAGCCTGCTGCAAGATTTTTTAACAGTCTTCTGATGTAAAAGGAGACTCTGATGGGGACTCTATTGTAATGGGGAACTTTGATGGGGACTCTGCTGTAAAGGGGAATTCTGATGTAAGGCGGACTTTGTTGGGGACTCTGTTGAAAAGGAGGGCCTTTGATGGGGACTCTGTTGCGACGGAGAGCCTTTGATGGGGACTCTGTTGCGACGGAGGGACTTTGATGGGGACTCTGTTGCGACGGAGGGACTTTGATGGGGACTCTGTTGCGACGGAGGGACTTTGATGGGGACTCTGTTGCGACGGAGGGACTTTGATGGGGACTCTGTTGCGACGGAGGGACTTTGATGGGGACTCTGTTGCGACGGAGGGACTTTGATGGGGACTCTGTTGCGAACGGAGGGACTTTGATGGGGACTCTGTTGCGACGGAGGGACTTTGATGGGGACTCTGTTGCGACGGAGAGCCTTGATGGGGACTCTGTTGCGACGGAGAGCCTTGATGGGGACTCTGTTGCGACGGAGAGCCTTGATGGGGACTCTGTTGCGACGGAGAGCCTTGATGGGGACTCTGTTGCGACGGAGAGCCTTGATGGGGACTCTGTTGCAACGGAGAGCCTTGATGGGGACTCTGTTGCGACGGAGAGCCTTGATGGGGACTCTGTTGCGACGGAGAGCCTTGATGGGGACTCTGTTGCGACGGAGAGCCTTGATGGGGACTCTGTTGCGACGGAGAGCCTTGATGGGGACTCTGTTGCGACGGAGAGCCTTGATGGGGACTCTGTTGCGACGGAGAGCCTTGATGGGGACTCTGTTGCGACGGAGAGCCTTGATGGGGACTCTGTTGCGACGGAGAGCCTTGATGGGGACTCTGTTGCAACGGAGAGCCTTGATGGGGACTCTGTTGCAACGGAGAGCCTTGATGGGGACTCTGTTGCAACGGAGAGCCTTGATGGGGACTCTGTTGCAACGGAGAGCCTTGATGGGGACTCTGTTGCAACGGAGAGCCTTGATTGGAATTCTGACGTAAGGGAGAATCTGATGTAAGAGGGACTTTGATGGGAACTCTGATGTAAAAGGGGAATTCTGATGTCAAGGGGACACTGATGGGGACTTTGATGTAATGAAGGACTTTGATGGGGACTCTGTTGTACTGGGGGACTATGATGAGGACTATGCTTTGTAAATACTTACTCGATGCCCAAGTGTGAATGAGGCCCAAAGCCAAAACAGAAGGCAACTGTGGGGGGCAGTTAGCCTTGAATTGCAACACTGGCATCAATATTTGCTTGATGGCCAGTAAGTGTGTTCAAACATCAGATTATGCAGGCCATAGATGGGTCGAAAATCGGGCAAAAAAAAAAAATCGGCCGATTTTCGCACCGTTAGTGGGTTAATTGGTCGGCCGTTTTTCTGGGTTTTGGCACATTTTTTTTTTCAGTAAAGTTGGAAAAAAATTGGCCGATTTTCCCAGCAACGATGGGCAAATCGGCCAATCATTTTTCCGATAAAAAAATCTGCGCATGAGTTATGACCTGCAAGAAGAAGAAGAAGAAGAAGAAGTAAAAGAAGAAAAGAAAAAGAAGCAGAAGAAAAGAAGCAGAAAAAGAAGAAAAAAAGAAAGAAAAAGAAGAGGAAGAAAAGAAGTAGAAGAAGAGGAGAAGAAGAAAAAAAGAAGAAGCAGCAGAAGAAGAGGAAGAAGCAGAAGAAGAGAAGAAAAAGAGGAAGCAAAGAGGAGGAAAAAGAAGAAAAAAGAAGAAGAAAAAGAGGAAGCAGAAGAGGAGGAAGAAGAAGAAGAAGAAGAAAAAGAAGAAAAAAAAGAAGAAGAAAAAGAAGAAAAAAAGAAGAAGAAAAAGCAAAAGAAGATGAAAAAGAAAAAAGAAGAAAAAGCAAAAGAAGATGAAAAAGAAAAAAGAAGAAGAAGAGGAAAAAAGAAGAAAGAGAAGAAGTAAAAGAAAAAAGAAAAAAGAAGAAAAAAGAAGAAGAGAAAAAGAAAAAGAGAAGAAGATGAAGAGAAAAAGAAAAAGAAGAAAAAGAAGAAAAAGGAAGAAAACAGAAGAAAACAAAGAAGAAAAAAAGAAGAAGAAAAATTCCAGTCGGCTATTATATTTGACATGAAAAAGTCTTGCGGTTGCAACAATGTATCTATTTGTATCTGGATAAAAACATCTGTATCCAAAATGGATACAAATAGATACATTGTTGCAACCGCAAGACTTTTTCATGTCAAATATAATAGCGGAGCTCTCTGCAGGGACAGCAGTAATTAAATGCCGGCTGTAGACGGGACGAAAATTGGCCATTTTTTTTTACTGTTGGTTATAACGTCGGCCGATCGAATGACCGATTTTTCATTTTTTTAATTAAAAAACGCCCGGTTTTCGACCTGTCTATGGCCTGTATTAAAAGAGGAGAAATGGGGTAAAAAAGTGGACCGGAGAGGGCTTCCCAAACATAGAGGTTGTACGGGGCCGAGAGGAGAATTGCAGTTGACCGCGGTGATGCGGCGTGGAATGGTGCTACGTCTCTTCTGCTGCTTTTTTTCATCATGCATTTCATCCGAGCACTTCCCCTCGGGCGTTTCTGCGGGGTGCTCCTTTGTTTAGTCTGCATTACCAGTTTGTTCTGCTTACAGCAGCAGCACAAGATAAATTATCAGTAAATAATTCAAAAGCCATCCAGAGCACACTAAAGCAGCAAGATTATCCCCGTCCTCCACCTCCAAATCACTCTGGATTTCCGAGGAGTGTTCTGGATTACACCCGCAGTGACCTCGGATGTCCTCCTATTGTAGGTCCCACAGCAGGGGGGGGGGGGGGGGGGGATCTATCCATCCATTACAGCCATTCACAAGGACCTGCACTTAAAATTAAAAGGCAAACTCCGGTCAAAACTGAAAATGAAGTCTTAGGGCTCATGTACACTGCAGCTGATAAACTCACGTTTAGGAGCTGTTTAGCTTTTTTTTTTTTCAGCAGCCCCTGAACTCTCCCTAATGTTTTCCTATGTGTCCATGTACACATCTTCGTTTACAGACATTTGAGTTTACCGCCATTTTTTTTAACGCGGAAAACTTGCGTTCAGCAGTCGATTTTTAGCAGCGTTTCAAACGCAAAAAGCTTGAAAAACGTGGAAAATCGCATTTATAAGCTTTTGCATTTGAAATTTTTTTACAATTCTTCCAGTTCCCAATGCTGTCCAGAGCCTTTTTTCATCATGAAAAATGCATGCAAATCATTTTCAAGGTACCTCAAATGGACAAAACACTGAACACAGGATGTTCCTACCAAGCTGGTCACACATTGTAATGACCAATTCACACCTCAGACCTCCCCCACCCTTGGAAACAAAAGATATGTTAATGACCAATTCACACCTCCCCCACCATTGACATCCCCTCAGACCTCTCCCACCCTTGGAAACAAAAGTTAATGTTCAATGACCATTCACACCTCAGACCTCTCCCATCATTGGAAACAAAAGATAGATACCAATGTTAATGACCATTTCACACCTCACACCTCAAATTCCTCATGAAGACCCCCTCTGCCAGGTGACCTTAATGCCTCTCTACACTAGACACCAATTCCACCCTTGGAAACAAAAGAAATGTTAATGAGCAACTCACACTTAAGCTAATCTCAACACATACTGCTGTCTCTGCTTCTACTCTCTGTATTTCTCTGAAACAGTCTGAAATAGTTCATAATTTACCACTTTTCAGTGCATTCTGGGCATTTGGGAGGTTCTCCTGTGCTTATCTTTAAAAAAAGCTTCTAAACACAAACGCACATAAACGCGGTATGCAAATGCGGCTAAACAGATGTTTTTAAATTACGTTTTCCAGCAGTCAGTTTCCATCATTCAGAAGTGTCCCGTGTACATGGGGCCTTACACTGAAAACTGAAGCACAGCACCTTGCTGGGTTCAGCAGTCCACCCCATGGTCTAGTTAGTAATCTGAGGCTCCCAACATGTGATTCTGCATTGTGTGACTGTGTGAATGAGGAAATACTGCATTATGGCCACTAGATGGCGCTGTCTACTCTAGGAAATAAGTATGTTCCTCAACTCCATCCAGTGGTCACAAATTTTCACCATACGCACGTTTGATCTGCAGAAATTTATAACTTGAGAACACAATTTTCCCCATTTGCACTGAAAAAATTTGCACATAGTTTCCATGGTTGGACAGTGACCAGTGGTGTATTTAGGTTTTGTGCTGCCCTAGGCAACACAAAAATTGGCGTCCCTCCCGCAGAAAGAGCCTAACATTGACCAAGAACACCCCTGCCCTCCACCCAAGTCTTTCACTACCACTGCCCCCCATACACCAAGCCACCGTCCCCCATGGCGAGAGAGAGAGAAAAAGACACTCAACTTCACAGCTCCGGACATCCCCAGGAATGAGAGTTGGGCTGTGCATACACCGTCATGAAACCCACAGCATCTCTCGGAACACACCAGGTCCCCATGCCGCGTGTGTCCCTTCTTCCCCCCTGAAAAATGCTGCCCTAGGCAAATGCCTTGTTTGCCTTGTGGTAAATACACCCCTGCCAGAGACCCTGTGAGGTGCTCTGTGGTTTCTGGCTTCAGCAGATTATTAGGTTTGTAGAGTGAACATTATTTTTACACAGTTGCTGGATAGTATTAGGAACTCGTAGATTGCTCTTGAACACTGAGGTGCAGCGGGAGGGTCCCCTCATAGTGGGAAATAAGGCCACTTAGTTATGGCATTCCAAAGAGAAGATCCAGCCTTCCTTTGCACAATGTGACCTCTCTAAACACTACTGAGGGACATATTCCTCAACTCAACTTGGGAGATGAAATCAGCATCAGGGGTGGACTGACCATTTGGAAATTCGGGCACCACCTGAGGGCCCGGGGTCAGTAGGGGGCCCTATGAGATGCTCCTGATACCTTTTTCATAGGCTTTTTTGAGTTTGGGCAAGGTCACAGGGGCCCCATGATCCCCTATTGCCCGGGGGCCCCATGAGTTGTCATCAGCATATGCATAACTCAGCACCTAGAACAAGCATGCAGCCAGTGTTACAGTCAGAATCCTTGACCTGACACACAACTGAGCTGGAGGTAAAGACTGGAGTCAACTGCCTGTGAACTTAGCATGTGCAAGGTGCATTGTAGAAACATGTTGCAGTAACACACAAGAGACCGCAGAATGCACCGCAGTGGAAGAGTGTTTTGGCCCCTAGAATTTCGGATCTTGTATTAATGTCTGATGACTCTGGCTACGCACAGCTGCTTTCCTGCTCATTTAACCCCAATGAACAGCCTCCTCTCTTCCTCACCAGCCTGAAATGGCCAATAGCCGCAAAAAGTCACTTTCTGCCACAAAGGAATTGTGTGATGTGTAGAACTAGCAAGGCACACTATAGGTCCTTCTAAAGCAATTAGGGTTCCTCCAGGTTGCTCAAGGTTCCCTGAGTTGATTGACCTCCCATTGGTTGGTGTCTGCATAGTTACTGGGTCAATGTAATTTGGCATATCCAACAGCATGACACTAATGATCTTTTTAGCTGTCTGTAAGGGATTCATTTCTACTTAAGCACCACCAATGTAAAGGGATTCATTCTTCTCACCACCAATGTACCACTGACACCAATGTAAGTGGTCTGTTCCTCCCACTGACCACCAGCGCAAGGGTTCCATTCTTCCTACTGACCACCAATGTGTAAGTGTTCCATTCTTCCTACTCACCACCAGTGCAAGGGTTGGTTCCATTCTTCCTACTGACCACCAATGTAAGAGTTCCATTCTTCCTACTCACCCCAAATTTAAGGGTTCTATTTTTCCTACTACCAATGCAAGGGTTGAATTCTTCCCACTGACCAACAATGTAAGGGATTTGTTATCCCTATGACCAATGTAAGGGCTCAATTCTTCCCACTGACCACCAATGTACGGCTTCCATCCTTCTTACGATCAATGTAAGGATTTGCTTCTCTCCATTGACCACCAAAATAAGGGTTCGATTCTTACTACTACCAAAGTACGTGTTCAATTCTTCCCACTGGCCACCAATGTAAAGGTTTGATTATTCCTGCTAGCAATGTAAGGGTTTATTCTTCCCATTGACCACCAAAATAAGGGTTCCATTCTTCCTACTAGCAATGTAAGGGTTCAGTTCTTCCCACTGATCACCAATGGAAGGTTTCCATTCTCCCAAACTTCCTACTATCAATGTAAAGGTTTTATTCTCCCTATTGACCACCAACATAAGGGTTCCATTCTTCCTACTAGCAATGTAAGGGTTTTATTCTCTCTATTGACCACCAAAATGAGGGTTCCATTCTTCCGGTTCCATTCTTCCTACTAGCAATGTAAGGGTTTTATTCTCCCTATTGACCACCAAAATAAGGGTTCCATTCTTCCTACTATCAAAGTAAGGGTTCAATTCTTCCCACTGATCACCAATGGAAGGCTTCCATTCTTCCTACTAGCAATGTAAGGGTTTTATTCTCTCTATTGACCACCAACATAAGGGTTCCATTCTTCCTACTATCAAAGTAAGGGTTCAGTTCTTCCCACTGATCACCAATGGAAGGTTTCCATTCTCCCAAACGTTTTATTCCCCTACCACCAAAATAAGGGTTCTATCAATGTAAAGGTTTTATTCTCCCTATTGACCACCAAAATAAGGGTTTTATTCTCCATTCTTCCTACTAGCAATGTAAGGCTTTCATTCTTCCTACTGTCTACCAATGTTAGGGTTTCATTCTCCCCACTACCAATATGAGGGTTCAGCTCTTCCCACTGGCCACCAATGTAAAGGTTTCATTCTTCCTCCTACCAATGTAAAGGTTCTGTTCTTCCTCCTACCAATGTAAGGGTTTCATTCTACCTACTGTTCACCAATGTTAGGGTTCTATTCTCCATTGACCCCCAATGAACTGATTTCACCAAGGGTTTCCTTAGACCTGAACATTTTTTTAGAGGTTCCTCAGACTGAAAAAGGTTGGGAAATGCTGGCCTAGACTATCATACTGCCAAATACGTTCAATACATTTTTGTGAATGTTAGGGGACTGTTCCTGTTCCTGCCCCCCCCCACACGTTGATATTGCTGTTGGAGCCCTGTACAGTACGGTTACGGCCTGCAGTTATTTTTAGTTCTGCTTCTGTTTCAGATCTTCTTAGGCAGCGGCTAATCAGCTGTATATCCCTGGCAACGCAACCCACGGAAATCCTTAAAACAAAGGCGGTCTGGCTGCAATGCTACCATTTACACACATGGAGGTTTCATCGGGGTCTGCGCCCGTTTGCTGACAATGCGAAGGAACGAGGTTTTGTTAAAATGATCAAAATATTTGTAAACAAAACTTCTGTGAAAAACATTGTAATGGTGTCAGTCGGCAACACTTCCATCAGGGAGCCATGAGGGAGCCGGTCAGAGTCAGCAACTCGGAGGAAGCAATGACCTGTTGCTGCCCACTTAACATATATGCGTGGCGGCAAAAGGGCGGGATTTATTGCGCATGCGCCATACGTAGAAGTCACTGGGCGGCCAAGGTCTCTGTACACTTCTAGCACAGAGACTGAGCTGTCAAGGACAGCTTTCAATCCACACCAACAATCAGTAGCAGCTCACAAGCATGTGACCATTGTGACAGCCAAGCACAATAGTCGCATGATTACTGATCCTTTCTGTCCCCCCCCCCCCCCCCCCCCCCCCCCCCCCTTTTGTTTTTTTTTTTAAATCTTTATTCAAATTCTGCATAGTATAGCAAAGTTACGACAAGGACATTATATACAGTCAGGTCCATAAATATTGGGACATCGACAGTCAGTCACCTGACCTGAATCCGATTGAGCATGCATTTCACTTGCTGAAGACAAAACTGAAGGGAAAATGCCCCAAGAACAAGCAGGAACTGAAGACAGTTGCAGTAGAGGCCTGGCAGAGCATCACCAGGGATGAAACCCAGCGTCTGGTGATGTCTATGCGTTCCAGACTTCAGGCTGTAATTGACTGCGAAGGATTTGCAACCAAGTATTAAAAAGTGAAAGTTTGATTTATGATTATTATTCTGTCCCATTACTTTTGGTCCCTTAACAAGTGGAAGGCACATATGCAAACTGTTGTAATTCCTACAAAACCGTTCACCTGATTTGGATGTAAATGCCCTCAAATTAAAGCTGACAGTCTGCAGTTAAAGCACATCTTGTTCGTTTCATTTCAAATCCATTGTGGTGGTGTATAGAGCCAAAAATGTTAGAATTGTGTCCCAATATTTATGGACCTGATTGGATATATGTGATTTGGCCTAGTCAAAAATTATAAATTGTAACATTCATCATTGCTGGACATATAATAGCTGACCAGTTGCCCCCGGTTCCCGTACGGGCCGCATTTTGTTCGGGCACGAGAGCCCATTCATTTGAACGGACTACCGTGATACGCGGAGAAAGAAGTCCCTGCACTACTTTGGAACACGCAGTCTGCACAGGAACCTCGGTTCCCAGTATGGATGTGTTTCCCTGTGCGGGCGGCGTGCCATTAGAATTAATGGCAACCGCC